AAAAAGGTTTGATCAAACACCCCAAAAACAAAAAAAAAAAGGGAAAAAAAAAAAAAAAAAAAAAAAAAAAAAAAACCCGTGTTGAGTTTTAGTAGCCAGTGTGGGTTGTTGGGGCAAAAGTAAGTTATTTCTCGAGAGCTCATTCAGCCAACTTGGTGTTTCGTTCTTTAGACGAAATCTGATTTGTACCTAAGTGGAGGTATTGTTCTGGGAGGAGGATCGTAGCAACGATGCCACTGGTGTCAACAATACGACATTATTGGACATCTTGGGAAGGATCCATTATTGGCTCAGCTAAATTTCATGTTAAAGCTGCAGTATGTAACTTGTTTATGTCTTGTCAGGAATTGTCCTGACAAGACATAAGTTACATAAGGAAGAAAATCTGTGAAAAAAAACTGATTTCCTCTGTCTTCTCCCAGTACTAACTGCAAAAACGTACCACTCAATCAGAAACAACCAGTCGGAGCCAGGAGGAGGATTTTAGCGCTGTCAATCACTCTCATGCTAACGCCCTCCCACTTGCTCTTTGCTAAGCTACAGCAGGTTCACCATAGCATAGCCTGCCACTAATGCTAATGCTAGTTAGCATAGCCACCACAAACGGTTTTCCCATAATGGTAAGTTGTTTTTCCACCATTTGCACATTGAGCAGCGAACAGGAGAATGATTGACAGCCCTAAGACCCTCCTCCGGGCTCTGATTGGTTGTTTTTGACTGGGAGCAGTGCATTTTTGCAAACATCAGTGGTGGCGCTGGGAAGAGGTGGAGGAGCTGGATTTTTTTTTTATCTGTCTCATACTGGTGTGGTGAAAGTTTTAATAAATGTGAAAGAAAAAAAAAACATCTTTTTGTAAAAGTTACAAACTGCATCTTTGATGCTGTAGACTTTTTGTTTCCCTCTCCTTTGGGATACTGTTTACTGTATTATTTAATATTCTCTATAGTTATCTGTTTATTTTCTAACTATCCATCCATCTAAAGGAGAAAGATTTTTACAAAATACGAAATGTCCAAGTACCGATCAGGAAATCACATCGTGACTGAGTTAAATCATACCAATTTCTGTCATTAACAGATAATAAAATTAACGTTTTACATCCATCCGTTCATTTTCTTCACTTGCTTAAACCTGTTCAGCTATCACCAGAAGAAAAGTGCACCCTGGAGAACTAACAGAGTCCATTACAAGGTTAACCAAGAGACACGCAGGAGGGACACCACACACACACCTACACCATAGCCCAATTTAGAATGAACAGCTCATCAAATATGCATGTTTTGGAACCATGAGGGGAAACTGCAGTACCTGGAAAAAAACATGTATGGGTGGAGAAAGTAGGAGAGCAGCAGAAAGAAAAAGATAAATTCACTGTTGCTCTGCAATCAGTTTTAGGTAGACAGGTGTTGTCATACGCCATGTTGTAAAAATCTGACGATCGCCAACTCCGATCATGGAGGCAGGGTGTTGTTTAAAGATAACATTCATACTGATATTAAGGACAGGGATAGGTTGTAAGATAAATCTGTCAACAAACCATTCCCCTGCACATAAAAATCAAATATGCCCACTGGAAGCACCGTCACCACATCTCAACTATATTTAGACATAGATAGAAAAACTTTATACAGATGGCCGGTCATAGATTTTGAAGTTGTTCGGATGGAAGGCATCGCCATCTTTTCTTTGTCGTTTCAGCAAGACTTCTCTAGGGGGCGTCGTTTTCTCAAATCTCCACATTGGTCGGAGTTTTTAGAAATGATCTTTTTTAGTGACGGAGTCTTTGTGTGGATGAAAGGCCAAAAATGATTTACGCTTAAAAAAATTTCCCAAATATTCGGCTCCATTTGGACTAGACCTAAGTTTTCTGTGTAAGACAGCCATCTTGGATTTTAAGTTTTTCCCATTTGCAACAAGAAAATGTAAACTTTTGATTAAAAAAACAGAACAAGACGGAGGTTAGACTGTTGGCTCCATGCAGGCTTATTGCTTGGGGCACCCTGAACACACTCACTGCAGAACTGTAGGCGTTGTTTCTTGGATTTCTAACTTTTACTGTCATCCTAGGTCACAAAACTTGGCTAAGGTTTGATGCTGAATGGTAATCTAAGTACAGATTGCCATTTTTTAGTATCTATGCTTTAGGTCTACTTATTTTATTATGAACACTGGAATTACTCATTTCCTCTTTTTACAGGTTTACAATTAAAAGTACAGTTATGGAAACATTTCCATTTTGTATCAGACTATTGAGTTTTTTTATTTGTTTTGTTTTGTTTTGGGGTTGTTGTTTTTTAGCTTTTAAGCATGTTTTTACACAGTGCATAAAATATTCTCATTTAGACCCTGGAAGTACAATGAAAGAATACAATACAATTTTTAATGTTGAGCACCACTTATTTTTACTCTCAAGCCTTAGTTGTTGAGCTTTTAAATGTCAGATTTTTAAATGTGTGTTAAAAAAAAAAAAGTTATTTTAGAAATGACATTTTTGATGATTCTTCTGAACCTCATCAGGTTTTTCTTGATGTTTGAGCTTTCCAGACCCAACATGTACACAACACCTAATTTAGAAAGCAAGTGGGAACAAAGGTTGTGAAACCTGGTATTTATGCACTGGCATTACGTCGCTTCCTCCACTGTAACGACCTTTACCAACATGCAGGAAATTAGAATAAAGAAGTGACAAAGCGTGGTTTCCAGCCTCCCCGGCTGACTAAGAATGAAAATCATGTAATGTGTAAGTAACTCTTGCCTATAAAAGGTCTCTCTATGTAGCGTAAGGTAGAAGTAAGTTCGGTGAGTAAAAGGAGGATGTATTAATTTGCATGTGTCAGTGTGAGAGTGCGTGTGTGTGTATGTGTGTGTTTCATCAGGCCCGTCAGAGCCACTGGCAGTACAGCTGCAACACTAGTGGGTCAGTGTGCCATCAGCCCATTCATCAGCACTTCTCCCTCTCTTCTCTTCGCCTGAATCTCCCCTCTGACTCACCACATATCCATCCATCCATCCTTCACTACCTACAACTCCCTCCCTCCATCCCTACCTCCCTCGCTCACATGAGAGTTCAAAGTGTTCACAAGCGGAGTGTTTGAAAAGTTCTGAATGAATTCCTTCAAATTGCCGTCACCAAATGAGGTGAGGTAAATGCAAATGTGAACGGCTTCCCCTGATGAACAGGAAATAGCATCACCCAAGTCTTTAAGTCCTTCATTTACCATATCGTTCATTTGCCGTGTAAATATTCGAGAGGCTCTCGAAAGCGTCATGCGCCACAAGGCAGGGTTCTTCTAGGCACAAACATGGCTTTTGATGATGTATGGTGTGTGGTTTCATGGAGCAGCCTGAGCTGAACCACTCCATCACTGCCTTCTGTTGCTAATTTGGTCTCCTCTTGGACAAAAAGATGGATTACTTGCCTCAGCACTTCCACAGGCCCAGATGTTTTTATTTTTGACGTGTTTGAGTCCAGGTGGGCGGACTAGCGCGTAGCTGGCAGCTTGACATCCTTCTGTCCAGCAGATTCACCCAGTGCCTTCACTCAGTGCCACCCAGTGGGGGTAGATAAACCTACCCCCACTTTTTGTCAGTGCAACAGCTGGTTACCATGGAGACTGCACACAGACTGGTGGACGGACATTACTGCTGAGCAAGGAGTTAGATTGACTTCCTAGCTAACAAGATGCTTGGGTGTCATAATGGATGATGTTCTCAAGTGTTTGTAGAAATCCTTCTTGTAAAAAAGAAAGTCTTCTTCAAACAACTGAAATAGAGTTTAATATGATTTTATTGAAATAAAATGACAGTAAGTTATTTGCTGCTTATTGTATGCGACTACACAGAAAGAGTCTGATTCTGGTTATAAAATTCAAGGACTTCAATTAGCTTTGAAAAACAGACGAGGCAAGAAGCTGGTCACCCTTAAGGAACGATCCCATCTGGTGCAGTTACTGATTTACAATAAGAACTGTAAGAGATTTAGTGTTAAAGAATTGCCACATGTACAACCAGACACCATAATCAGTGGTTTCTTGGGGGGTGCTGTCCTGTCATCAGGCAGTGGCTGGAGCGCCTGACAGTCCGTCAAAATGGGACTGTAGTCTGCAGTCATCTGATAGGGTCACATTTCAGTGGAACTGCTCAGAGCTGTAAAGTATGGATCTTAATGTTTTTAATTCATCCTTTGACTATTAATGTACCTGTATCATCCATTCTTAGTTGCATTTTTGAAAGGTAAACAAACTTTTTCGAGCTTACAAGCTGATATGAGTTCTGGGGTGCTCTTGGGGTGCTAGCATACATTCTGGGAACAATCTGGCCTGCCCTAGCTCTTTATGTGGCCCTCTAAACTCCAAATTACATAAATACGTCCCTCCAGTTTTTCACAAATCTGCAAAATTCACACAAAATCAGTAGATCCTCACATTGTTTCTGATTTTATTGAAAATTTTTCTCAGAATTAGTCAAACATTGGGTTTAATTGACTTCTGCCTCAGCCTTTCTTGATGTCAAGTTACAGTTGGTGATCAATACAGCAAGGAATAAAAAACAGTCACATTTAGCAACATACATTAGTGCAAATATCTTAAAAATTCCTTAGAAATATTTCTAAATTAGCACCACTAAATCTGTGATTTTGATTACAAAAAAGAAACAAAAACAATCAAAATCCTGGAGGGAAAGCTATTTATTAATATCTTAACAGCTTTATGGGTTTTATCAATACATTCTGGCTCAACCGGCCCTTTTAGAGCATTCATATTTTTGATATGGCCCAATGATATGGTGTTACTACTGCCGGAGAACGTGAAGAAGACGACAGGAAACGGTCGGAGGATGATGATGTGGCGTGTTTTTTTAATGTCTTATCCTGTGAAGAAATTTATTCACGTACGATTTTAGTTCCGTTTAGTTTTTTTCTAACGGATACATCGCAATTGCAAAATTGTGTTTCTTTTGTTTTTTACATTAGCGCTAATTTCATTACATTACATTTGCAATGAAAACGGAGCTTAACTCTGCGCGGATAAACCGGTTCAGACAACGGATGGAAGATGTGTTTATTTTTGTTGCAAAATGAGTGAAAATGGCATCCAAAAGGACCGGATACCTTAGCTAACCACTCACTCATTTCGCTGTGGTTTTGATTCTGATTTTCGCTCCGTCTCCTGCAGGATGGGCACGGGAATGTGAGGCAGAGGAGAGCAGGCAGAAGAGGGGGGGGGGGAAACGGAGGGGGTGGATATGTTGTTCAGCTCCACTGAATGCACTCACATGTATGAAAGAAGAAGCATTTATTTTAAGACTCTCGCGTGGGTGTACACAGATTTGAAACACACACACACACACACACTCACGCTGCAGAAGTGAGAGCTCACAAGCCCAGAGATAGACCTGACCTACCTTCATATCAATCTTGTTTTGAAAGCTGCTGAAATGTTGCTTTTCCTTCCAGCTCCTGGATCCTTTTTTTTTTTTTTGTTTTGTTTTGTTTTTTTTTCCCATACCTTAGTTCGACAAAAGCATTACACATTTCCCAACACACACAAACACGTAGACGGATACAGGAAGAGAAGAAAAGAGGCTAACCACAAGAGGCAGGCACAGGAGTAGGAAAGCAGGCAAAGGTAGGTTAAGAAAAAAAAAACCATGAGATTCACTTCTGAGCATCACATCACACAATAAAAGTCTACTTTGTTGTGTCAGCAGTGCCACAGTTATTATCTGGTAGAAACTGTTGTCATGGTAATAAGGTCAACGCCGTGCTCATATGTCAAAAAGGATTTATACTGGCTGACACCATTTCCAGTGCTGCATGTGCCAGGAGTGTGTGTGTGTGTGTAAATGACGTTGGGCAAAGACGGTTTGAATGTTTTAGTTGATTTTGATTCAATCTAAATTGCAACCCAAATGGCATTTTTACATTTAATAACAACACATCAAATTTATATAGCGCTTTTTAGGACACTCAGACACTTTTCCAAAGGGAAAAAAAAAAAAATTACACGTTGTTCAGCTCTGGAAATGACGAAATATCACTTCATTTAATACAAAATCCTCTAAATTTTATCCCCTGCAAAAGTTTTATTTCAAAATAAAGGCATTTGTTTCAAAATAAAAGAAAAAAATGGGAAGTTTCTCTTGCTCTGTTGTACTTTTTTGTGATGTTTACACTGTGATTAATGTGTACGGTACTATCAGGAAATCCCCTGAGAGCGGTGACAGAGTAAACGTGAGCGTACAGAAAGCGAAAGTAAAACAATAAAAAATAAATTGCTGTGCCATGTGGAGCAATATTTGGATTGTAAGCGGAAAACCCCAAACACTACGCCTTCTGCTATACACTAAGCGACATGTTAATGTGACCTACTTATATTTAACGTAGCACCACACTCCACCTCCCCTGTTTCCATACTTCTTTGTTATTTGCTCCCATCCTCCTCCGCCCCCCACAACCCTACATCTGACCCCTCTGACACCCGATCACAGAGAAAGCTCAACGCTACTCGTGATTATTATTTTCTTTTACACTTCTCTTTATTTGCTCAGCTTTGACATCTGTCAGCTCAAATGGTAACCCATATGCCATCTATTGTCCGCAAATCGGCACAAGCTAACAATTTCTGAAATAAAGGCTGGCTGTGATTAGAAATTGATAACAATCCAGAAAAGCTGTCTGTGTAAATTATTTGTTCTAAAAATTGACAATTTTGGAAAGTGATGCTTGCAAAAAGAAGAAAGCTAACTCTGCTTCCACCTCTTTTTCTCCTTCCTCCACTGTTGCTATACCCACCCAGTTCTGCTTGTTTCGCCCCTCCAGCCCGACTTGTGATGCTCATCCATAGGCAGAAAAAGCTGAAAACAATGGAGCCTTTGGCAGACGGAGCTCAACCAAGGCTCGGTATTCAACGCCACATAAAGCTTCATTGACTGTGGTAAGACAAAAAGTATAGTAGTGGTGAAACGGGAAAGGGGGGTGGGGTTGGTATCAAGCATAGCTGAAGAGAAGTAACTGATGTGGAGGAAAAAAAAGTATCAGCTACTACAGGACTGAAGGCGTTGGTAACCTGGAGATCACCCAATCAAATGTTGTTAGTGGGTCAGGGCAAAGGTCAGGGAGAACCTGGAGGATACCCAGAGGCAGAAATGTTTCTGTAGATGTGACTAGAAGAAAGCAGACAATGGAGACAGTAACGCCGTTCACAAAACACTTCAAGCAGAGATGTCTTCTGTCTTCTGCCAACTTGACTAGAGATAAATGACTGGATTTAGTAACGGTCAAGGCCTCCGCACACTGAGGCCTACTTCCCTTTGATTAGGTCCAGGCGTACTCAACAAGTCTGCGCAGAGGTACATTTTTACGACTGCGTACACGTACTTGGTTGCCCAGTAGACGGTGTTCAGATAAAGCAGTTTTTTAAGCAACACCAAGCTGATAAGGTTGAGAGTTGGTCCAACCAGTCGCAAGAGCGTGAATTAAAAGGTTCCCGGTTGCTGCCCTGGTGGAGACGAAACAGGGGTAGGCCCCCAACTAGCTCATCAAAACTGCTAGCGTCCATTCGGACAATGTGTGTGACTCACAGAAGTATGTGGGAGCCTTCAGCCTGCTGTGGTGAAGTGATCAGTATTGGCTGGCAGATTTAAGATGGAAACACATCCAAGATGGCCATGGTCAAGTCTGTCATTTAACCCTTCATTGGCATGCATTTGACCGGCTGCAGTGAAACAGAACCAATCCCCAATGTTTTGTTTCTTCAGTCGGTGTAAAACTTTAAAATCCAAGAAGGCCAGTGATGTTTTTTGCTTTTTAGAACGTGTGATGTTCCCAACAAATTTTATGCCCCGCATTCATTATTGCCTCTTTTTTTGTTTTGTTTTTGTCTTTGTTAAAGGTTTTTTTTCTGGCTCTAGTGGCCTTTATTTGATAGTGGTCAGACAGGAGAGTGGGTTGTGACAGAGTTGGAAGACATGCGGCAAAGGTTAACAGGCCAGGACTCGAACCTGTGGCGGCCACGTCAAGGAAATGGGTCATCATCCTGCGCCATCGCCACGCCCTTCACTGCATCTTTTAAGTTCAGTTTCACTCCAACCGGACGTCAGTTATGAAAATCTGGCCAGTTTGACTGCTAATCAAACGAACAGCAGCAGGCAGCTTGGACAACCAATTTTTTTTACATGAGCTGTTTTGTGAAATGAGTCTCTATCTTTTATTAGGAATCAAATAGTCTTACATTGTAAACTCAAGCTGCCTACTTTACTCTAACATTTAATGGAAATGTTATTGTCACTTTTCAGTCTTAATTGCACAATATTTTATTCACCTGAATTCAAAACAAGAGACCTAAAGAACTGTAGGCAAATGAGTTTTTGTTGTTGTGGTGAATGCTTACCTGTGTGAATGTAACGTCATAGTTTCAGTTTCTTTGCCTTTTGATGCATCACATTACTGCTAGCTGACTGGAAACTACCTTTCTGACGTCGGCGCACCAGAGCAATAAAAAAAAAAAAAAAAAAAAAAAAAAAAACAGTGGTAAGTTAGGTGATTTCCCCTGAAAGTCCGGAGTGTGTCTGAATGTCCACGAATTAACAAGGTGCATTACTGATGGCATCAGGAATCCCCCTTCTTCTCTTTCTGTTTCGGTTTAATCATTCCTGGTTGGACTGATTTCTACCTGCTTGACTTCATACGTCAAAGACCATCAAGTGAATAAAGCAATACTCTTATGTTCTTTTTGTTCTGTAAGGTTTGAAACAAGTGTATGAACCTCAGCTGGGATTAACTTCACTTTAGCTGAGGTTTATGGTTTGGGGTCAGTTTGCATTTCACTAATTTGTATATCCATTGATGTTTGTCTATTCCATCAACAAACCATTTACCTGATACCCGTGTACTTACATAGCATGCAAGTTTATTTCCTTGGTGAGTAGGCACATTTAAGGAATTATTTGGACGTAAAATCCTATACATTCTCAAATTTCAGAGTTTTTGTGAATTATATTGTCAAAAGACTGATTGTGCTTTCAATCCTTGTTATCAACTCTAATCAAACTAACATAAATCAGAGTGACCTCCAGTCGGTAAATAATTACTTTTTTCCTACAATAAACCATGCGGATTGTAGAAAATGATCTTAAATAATCTTCTGTAAAAGTCTCTCAACTGTTGGTACAAACTTACACAAGGTCAGTGTTGCCTTTGTGACCTTTAATTAAAGGCTCTTTTCCCACTTGCATTTTTCACAGCTGATCTGAAGCACGTTGGCCTCTGTCGTAAACTATGGAGCAACAACGAAGCCGTTTCATGATTTCATCCAAATTCTCTCACGTTATCTTGAGTGTGTCCCCAGAACTTTTCCTAAATGCACATAAAACGTTAAAATGAGTGCCAAGAAATTGAACAAGGTGTCAAAGAAAACACAAGCTGCTGCTGTTTAATGCTTAGCTTTACCTTAGCCATGATGAATATTCTCCTTTGGAGCTCCACCTCGCAATCAAACTCAGCTCTAATGTGTTAATGGTGGAGAAATAACTCACTGTTACAGGAAAACGGTATCAAACGTCAGGACTGGTGGTGGGGGAGACACGCCCTCCTCCCACCCCACAAGATGCTGCCCTGGGCGGTTGCCCATGTCACCCATTTCAGAAACTTTTTTCTACAATAGACTATTTTC